AACTCGGGCTCTTTCCCTTTCCCCCCTCGCCGCGGGACTCGCGTCTCGTCCGGCTCGTTGAACTCCTTCCCCAGCGGAGGGGGTTCCTGCCCCGCCGGGGTCACGACCAGCCGGTCCATGCCTCGGGAGAGCGGGAAGGTCAGGTGGGGGAGTTCCACCTGCTCGGCCTCCACCGCCTCCCCACCTTTGTCGCCGAAGCTGTAGTGCAGGTTCTTGAGCACGCGGCGGGCGAAAGCAAGTACCATGCCCGCCACGGTCTTGGTCACCAAGCCCAAGTGCATCCGCTCCGTCAACTCGGCGCCCATGTAGAGCACGCCCTCCGGGAGCTTCTTGAAACGACCCTGGATCTGCATTTCGAAGAGCCGTTGCTTCCCGGCGAAGTGCGCCACGTACCGAGGGTCTTCGGGCTTGGTCCGGAGCATGAACAAGACCTGGCCCTTGAAGAATTCATTCTCGAAGTCCACCACCTCGTTGAACGGGATCTGCACCCCCATCCAGTCGATCAGCTTGACTCCGTTGTACCGGGGGTCTCGGAGGGTCTGGGCGAACCGGCTCCGCATCTCTTGTCGTCGCGATTCATGCATGCTCCTCGGCGTGCCCGTCGAGCCTGTATCCAGTCCCAGCCGGCTGCTAGCCTCGTTCCCGGCCGCCTCCTCCCTCGCCCCATGGCCCCCTACCAGCCGCGTCTGGCTGGCGATGCGTCGCAAGGCCGAAAAAGTCTGCCCGGCGGCCTCCACTATGTTGGTAGGCGTGCCGATCGACGGCGACGAGGCGCTGGAGGAGGACAACGAGGGGGGCGGCAATGTTTGTGGGGGATCAGGGTCCCGCGCCCCCTCCCTCGACCTCCTCCTCTCCACGGTAGGGCTTGGGCTGGGGGCAGGAACAGGTTTGGGAGCCCCTAGGAAAACGTCGTGGCCCCGGGCTTTCAGGATGAGTATGACCAAAGAAGCGCCCAAGACCATGCCGACCAGCAAGCCCATATCTAGGTCCGGATTGGATAGAAGGCGGTTCGCCGCTGCCCAACCTGTGATCAGGTGATGGTAGTAGAGGTCGTTGAAGGGGCATTTGCCACGCAAATCACGTCTTCCTCACAGCCTGACATTCATGCTGTAACCAATTTCTTGACCGCCCGACTTTACGTGAGCCCCATGCCATGTTATTACCTGTTCCGGCTGCAGCCGCCAGTACAAGGGGCTCGAAATACGTCTCCATGACTTCCACACAACCCACAGACGTCTGAGGGCGCCGCACGCGTCCGAGCCCAGGTACCTGTCAAACTTGGCCTTCGGACAAAACAAAAGCACCACCGTGATTCCCCGGGGATTGTGCACGTCCTGAATGGAAGGGAAGTGTGCAACTGGATGTGAGCGACAAACGTGTTCCGCTTGCTCGAAACCTTATCATCGCATGGGCATAAGATTATTAAGGCATTTTGTCTTCAACAGAAGCTTGGCTTGTGGATTAAGGAACATAGTCTAGCAGGAAAAATGCCCCCGTACAACCTTATCCACATAATCAACATTTCGGCATTTTGCATGCAAGGAAAGGCCTTGTTGAACGAGGTAATTGGCGGTGGCACGGCCGCAAGGAGATCGGCGAGATGTTGTATTTGACGTGACCGGACGGAGGGGTGTGAAACGCAGAATTATGCTGGGAGAGACTCGCATTTACTACAAAGCGGAATGCACCGGGACGCCTTGGATGCATCATCACTCTTGCCTGAAACATTCTTCACGACCAACTTACACAGGAATGCCTGGGTTCATGTCCTTGGTTTTCTCCCGACGACCATGAGGCACCGAGACCTGCGAGGGCGGTGGGCTGCCGATGGCGGCGCTCCTACCTCCTACTCCCTGGGACCTTCCGCGGCGCCGCTTCCCTCGTCGACACAAGCCGAGGTCCTATTTGATGGCCGCGATAAGGAGGACGTGGATTGTCACCATCACTCGCTGGAGGAACGGGCGCGGCGGACAGTATTTACATGCGCCTGGTGCGCCCTATGCCTTGCAGGCAGCAATGTCCTGGGCTCCAAAGTTCTGTCATTGGGAGGCACGGCTTTGTTTTGGCCAGGCCCACCCATCGTCGCCATGTTCCTGGTCCTCAGTCCTTTGTTCATGCAGCGCTGGTTGGCGTCCACGGCATTCGCTGTCTACCTTGTGATGATCCTCCTCGATTTTGGCAAGCTGAACGAGTGCCTGTTTTTGAACGTGCTGTTCATGGTCACCGATGCCACGGAGGTCTTCGTTGTCATGACGTGTTTGCGTGCAGTGCTAGGGATCGCTCCCGTCAGTATCATTCGGACGGGGGTGGGAATAAATGCCATCCTGCTTTTCCCCCTGGTTCTGGCCCCCTTGAAAGCGGGCCTGAATGCTTTGCTTATCTATATGTGCTACGGCGCACTGAACCTTCCCTTGTCTGAAACCCTCGTGATTTGGCTGATTGGGGACCTGTTTACCGACTTCTTCGTCGTATACTCGGTGCTGGTGGTGCGCTACTACCTCCAGCTCTACCTGATCAAGGTGAAGGAGATGAAAATGTGTGAGAGGGAGGGCAGAAAGGAGCCGGAAGACGCGGGCCGGGCCGAGACGGCGAATGCAATCGGCATGGGAGGCAGTCTCAGGGTGCCGCATGGAGGGCCGGGCGAAAGCTCAATGGGCGGGGCAGGGCGCACGACCCCGGCTCTGACCAACGGGGAGAGTATTTATCACTTTACGCAAACACGTTACGAGAACGGGGGGTGGGGCCAAGAAGAGGGTGACGAGGAGGAATCGGAGAAGGAGTGGGGCAGCGACGACAGTGAATACGAGGACGAGGAGGAGGATGAGGAGGAAGACGAGGAAGACGAGGAGGAGGAGGAGGAGGAAGACGAGGAAGACGAGGAGGAGGAATGGAAGTTCGAAAATGGAGGGCGTGAGATCGAGCCCGCGGAATCTAGGAATGAGGAGGATGCTGGAAGCAGTGATGTTCCCGGGAAGTGGTCTCCATACGCTCCTGGAAGCGGCGTCTCTCACCATCGCGCGAATGGAGTACGTCCGGATATGGTGGCGAAGACCGACGCGTTGGGTCCAGGGATACCAAGCAATGCTGCCGCGGTGCAGCAGGCCGGCCATCCAGTCAAAGCCTGGCTGCACTCACCGAGGATGCTCTGGGACGTGACAGCCTTCGTCTTCTTCCTCTCGGTCAGCATCTTGACCTCCTTCGCTACCATCCTCAACCACACGCGCATCGCCCGCCAGCCCCTCTTCTACCTGGGCAGTCGGCTTCTTTTTCCGGTCACGGGGTACGTGACGGTGCGGTACGGACAGCTTGTCTCCTGCTTCATCGTGGGTGTGGTTGCCATCAGCATGCTGGTCACCGATTTCCTCCTCAACGAGGAGCAGAAGACGTATGGCTCCGTGTATATCACCTCCTTCAGCACCCTCTTCCAGGCCTTAGTCTGCCCGACGCTCATCGTCATCGTCTCCTGGTCCATTTCCTACCTGGCTGTGGCCCTGGCAGAGCGGCAAGACACCCTCCGCCTCCTTCGGGATAAAAACGCCCAGCTGCTCGCGCAAGAAAAAGAATTAAGAGAGGCGAAACTGGCAGCCGAGCAAGCCCTGTCCTCCAAGACCGAGTTCTTCGCCCGCGTCTCCCACGAGTTCCGCACGCCCCTGAACGTGGTCCTGGGGTTCTCAGAGGAACTCATCAAGCCGCCCCCCCCTGGGGACGGAGGGCAGTGGGTGGCACTGACTGCTGAGACAGCGGACCGCGTGCAGTACATCTTGGCGGCGGGAGAGAGTCTGTTGCGGGTCGTGGACGACATCCTGGAGCTCTTCCGCCTCTCCTCCACCCACTCCCAAAAGGGGGGCCAGCTTCTCCGGGTGAATATGACGGCGGTCGACATCCCCTCCTTCTTTGGCACCGTCTGCGACCTGGTCGAGGTCATCTCCAAGGAGAACGGGCTGCATTTCATCAAGCACCTGGACCCCGCCCTCCCCCGGTACCTGATCATTGACCGGGGCCGATTCTCCCAGCTTGTCATGAACCTGGCCTTCAACGCCTGCAAGTACAGTCGGCCCGCGGGCGGGGTGGTGTCCATCCGCCTCACCAACGAAGGTCCCGTGGAGGACGGGCGCCCGGGCTTCATCACCTTGCGCCTCGACGTGCAGGACAATGGGCCGGGGATACCGCCGGAGGTCAAAGACCGAATTTTCGAGTCCTTCTTCCGAGGAGGGCCCTCAATGGAGACCATGGAGGTCGAGGAAGAGGAAGTGGCCATGCCCGCTGCGGCGGGAGGGCCCGACTGCTACTCCTTGCCGGCCACCGGGGGTGGGGGGGGAATGCGAGGAGGCGAGATGACTGGGTATTTTGAAGATGCAAGTCAGCTACCACCGGGGGGTCAGCGCCACAGGGGAGTCGGAGCTGCCTCGCCCTATCTCTCTCCGGGCTTGCCGACGACCAACTCGGTGTCTGGGGTCCACACAGGCTTCAATGCGGGGCTGGCTCCTGGTGCAGGTGTTCGCAGTCAACAGTACCTCGTCCTCCCCCTCCACCGCACTGGCATAGCTACCCGCTCTCCTCTCCCCGC